TTTTTTCATGTTATTTATTTGTTGCAAATTTTTATGAGTTGATTTTCTTCTTTTTTCCAAGCATTTTGAGTATTATAGAGTGTTGATTAATATTAATTTAATTATTTTATAGTTTTGTAATATATATATATATATATTAATATTTTTAAATAATTATCGACGAAATTACATCCGGTTTGTTTTCGAGGACATTGCTGATGGAATGAAATTTTTTTTTTTTTACTTGCCTTTTCTGTTAGTTTATCTATTGATAATAATATTTTTTTTATTATCAACAAATTTACTAACAAGTAAAAAATTACTAATACAAGATTCACCAATGAAAACTTTTCGTTTCCATTAATAATTTTATCAATAAATTTTTTATTAATAGAATAATAATATAAATATCAATAAAAAATTTAGTCGGTAAATTTAAAGATTTTGACAGTGAAATCCATATGTGGTCATGGCCTGCGATGGGACGCGTGTGGAAATATTATAAGATTGCAATGTACTGTCTACGTGGTTTCTTCATATACTGAAGTAATTGAACAATGTTGGGGTGCATAATATTTTTTAATTAAATATATTTAAAAAATAGAAGATATCATAAAAATAAACCCTTACTAAAATATGTGTTTGACATTGTTGGGCAAAAAACAGAAAACAAAAAATTATAGTTATTTTCAAATAGAAAATTTTAATACATCTTAAAATAAAAGATTATAAATAATAAAGATAAAATAACTAAAAATATTTTCTACACATTATAGTCGGTCAGTGTTTATAGGAGTGAATACTGTGCAAAAGCCAGGCTCCCCAGAAAATTAATTAAAATCCCCATAATTTAGTGTAGTTTATATATTGATCCTTAATTTGGGCCCTCCACGTGTGTGTCTATATATATACTAGTTAAATGACCCGCATGATGCCACGGGTCAATTTTTTTACATAAAAATTATTAAAAAAAGCTAATATTTAAAAGTATTAGATTTTTTTACAAAGTTATATCCAAAAGTCTTAGATTTGATTGCAACACTAGACTTAAGAGTGATATTTATAATAACATTAAACATGAAAAATCCAAGTTTAAGTGGGTCTGACTACAATATCAAACTCAATAGTCTTGGATATGGGTCTGGCTGCAAAGTTGTGTCATAAAAGTGTGATACTTAAATAGATTAAATAAAAAAATAAAACAAAAAAAAAACCAACATGAAGAAAAAAACTAATGAAGAAAAAGAAAAAAAAATCTGAATTAACTAGGTTAACCTGTCAAACCTAACATCCATGTCATGAAAGTTTGATAACTAAATAGAAAAAAATTTCATATCAACAAACTAAATAAAAAAAAGTTAATTAAAAAAAAAGTATCAAACTTTTCACCGTGGATTGTACTGTATAGTCCACAGTAAAAGACATAAAAAGAAAAAAAAGAAAAGAAAAAAACTAAAGGCATCAGCCTTTTCATCATAGACTACATATAATATTAAAAGATGAAATCGGAAGAATAAAAGTAATGAGGAAAAAGAAAAACAATCTGAATCAATCGGGTTAACCGGTCAAACCTGGGATCCGTGTCATAAAAATCTAAAAATTAAACAGAAAAAATTTAATATTAAGAATCTAAATCAAAAAAATAATTTCAAAACAAAAAAAAAAGAAGAAAAGACAAAAAAAACAAACTAAAGGCATTAACTTTTTCACTGTGGATTGCACTGTGCAATCCACAGAAAAAGGATTAAGATGGAAAAGAAAAAAAACAAAATAAAGGCATATACTGCGGGTTATTTTTTTTCTTGCATAAAAAATTATCAAAAAATACTAAGATCTAAGAGTTTTATGTGTTTTTGCAAAGATATATTCAAGAGTCTTTGGTCTAGCTGTAACGCTTGACCCAAGAATAATATTTATAATATTTATAATAATATTAAATTTACATAACTCAAGTTTAAGTGAGTCTAGTTGCACCACTGGACCCAAGAGCCTTGGATGTGGGTCTGGCTGCAAGGTCATGTCATTAAAATGTGATAATTAAATAGATTAATTGAAAGAAACTAATGAAGAAAAAGAAAAAAAATCTAAATTAACTAGGTTAACCCGTCAAATCTTAGATTCGCGTCATGAAAGTTTGATAACTAAATAAATAAAAAAATTTGACAGGTTAACTCATAATTAACTGGATTAACCTGTCAAGCTTGAGATACATGTCATAAAAGTTTAATAATTAAATAAAAAGAAATTTAACATTGACAAACTAAACTAAATGAAAAAATTAATTAGAAAGAGAAAAATAAAAAAATAAAATTCTAAGTTAACCCGTCAAATTCGGGATTCATTAACAAACTAAATTAAACAAAAAAAATTATTAAAAGTAAAAAAGCAAAAAAAAAAGCAAAAAAAACCCATAAAGGCATAAAAAAACACAAAAAAAACAAAAAAATGAAAATATATATATATATATATATATATATATAATTATAGTTATAATTATAATTATAATATAATATATAATAAGATATTATTATTATTATTATATATAAGTATTACTAAAAGACGCGGGAAGCTACAGTGCTTTCCCACGAAGAAAAAAGCTAATGAAAAAAAAATCTGAATTAACTGAGTTAACCCGTTAAACTTTAGATTCGCATCATGAAAGTTTGATAACTAAATAGAAAAAAATTTCATATCAACAAACTAAATAAAAAAAAGTTAATTAAAAAAAAAGTATCAAACTTTTCACCGTGGATTGTACTGTATAGTCCACAGTAAAAGACATAAAAAGAAAAAAAAGAAAAGAAAAAACCAAAAGGCATCAGCCTTTTCATCATAGACTACATATAATATTAAAAGATGAAATCGGAAGAATAAAAGTAATGAGGAAAAAGAAAAACAATCTGAATCAATCGGGTTAACCGGTCAAACCTGGGATCCGTGTCATAAAAATCTAAAAATTAAACAGAAAAAATTTAATATTAAGAATCTAAATCAAAAAAATAATTTCAAAACAAAAAAAAAAGAAGAAGAAAAGACAAAAAAAAAAAAACTAAAGGCATTAACTTTTTCACTGTGGATTGCACTGTGCAATCCATAGTAAAAGGTTTAAGATGGAAAAGAAAAAAAACAAAATAAAGGCATATACTGCGGGTTATTTTTTTTCTTGCATAAAAAATTATCAAAAAATACTAAGATCTAAGAGTTTTATGTGTTTTTGCAAAGATATATTCAAGAGTCTTTGGTCTAGCTGTAACGCTTGACCCAAGAATAATATTTATAATATTTATAATAATATTAAATTTACATAACTCAAGTTTAAGTGAGTCTAGTTGCAACACTGGACCCAAGAGCCTTGGATGTGGGTCTGGCTGCAAGGTCATGTCATTAAAATGTGATAATTAAATAGATTAATTGAAAGAAACTAATGAAGAAAAAGAAAAAAAATCTAAATTAACTAGGTTAACCCGTCAAATCTTAGATTCGCGTCATGAAAGTTTGATAACTAAATAAATAAAAAAATTTGACAGGTTAACTCATAATTAACTGGATTAACCTGTCAAGCTTGAGATACATGTCATAAAAGTTTAATAATTAAATAAAAAGAAATTTAACATTGACAAACTAAACTAAATGAAAAAATTAATTAGAAAGAGAAAAATAAAAAAATAAAATTCTAAGTTAACCCGTCAAATTCGGGATTCATTAACAAACTAAATTAAACAAAAAAAATTATTAAAAGTAAAAAAGCAAAAAAAAAAGCAAAAAAAACCCATAAAGGCATAAAAAAACAAAAACAAAAAAATAAAAATGAATATATATATATATATATAATAATAATAATAATAATAATAATATATACAAGTATGATTAAAAGGTGTGGGGAAGCTACAAAGCTTCTTTCCCCACGAAGAAAAAAAAATAATGAAGAAAAAATATCTGAATTAACTGGGTTAATCCTTCAAGCCAGATTAACCCCGTCAAACCTTAGATTCACGTCATGAAAGTTTGATAACTAAATAGAAAAAAAAAATGACGAGTTAACCTATAATTAACTGGGTTAACCTGTCAAACTTGAGATACATGTCATGAAAGTCTGATAATTTAATAGAAAGAAATTTAACATTAATAAACTAAACTAAATGAAAAAAATTAATTAAAAATAAAAAAAGCAAAAGAAATGAAATTCCTGGTTAACTCGTCAAACTCGAGATTTATTAACAAACTAAATTAAATAAAAAAATTTATTAAAAGGAAAAAAAGAGAAAAAAACCCATAAAGGCATAAAAAACCAAAAAAACAGAAAAATAAAAATAAAAAAAATATTATAATATAATATAGTAATTTCGGTTTCCAGTAATTATGGTTTCCAGTAACCATAATATTAGGTGGCGACTTCTTAAATAATATTGTTTTTCATTAAATAATAGGATTCTAAAAATTTATTTTTTTCAAAGATAAATTTTTAAGGTCGCCACCATATCGAGTGCGATAAAATGTTAATAAATTTTTTTTATAATAATAAATTAATAATCAAGATAATATAAAAAGAAAATAAATGGACATGAAAGAAAAGATAAGAAAAAACGGTTTTAAGTTAATGTTCGCCATGCATGCATCTACTTTTTGTAATTTAACAGCCAGGTAAACAATGTGTACGACTTTGAATTGGCTTCAGATTAATAATGTTTTAAAAATGTTCTGGAAAAAAATTAATATTTTGTATTATATTTTTTAAAATTAATTGTTTTTAATATTTTTAAATTTTTTAATATACTAATATCAAAAATATTTTTTTAAAATAAAAAAATATTATTTTAATATATTTTTAAATAAAAAAGGGTAAAAAACTAATATCACCACAATAACAGTCACAATCACCATCACAGCAGATGTCCGAATCTAATGTTCCCAATGCTATAGCTAGGAGTCAAAGTATCTACATCAATTCTCTGGATATAAGCATCCTAAATTCTAAATCTCTCGTGTAATTCATTGAAAAACTCAAAAACAAACTAGCTAAAATGGCATCTACAAAACCTTGCCAGAACAAGGTTCAAGACAAGGTTGCTATCCTAACGGGAGGTGCAAGTGGCATAGGCGAGGCCACCGTGCTTGCCTTTGCTGAAAAGGGCCAAGAGCTTGCAGAATCCATCGGAACTAACAGATCCACTTACATCCATTGTGATGTAACTGATGAAAACCAAGTCATATCCCTTGTGGAATCCACTGTTCAACTTTATTGTCACCTTGATGTAATATTCTGCAATGCTGGCATTGCAAGCTTTGGTAAGCAAAATGTTCTTGACTTCGGTTGAAAGTGTTTGTTTAAAAATATATAAAAATAAAAAAATTATTTTTCACATCAATACATTAAAACAATTTAACAATATAAAAATAAATTTAATTTTAAATAAAAAATTTCAAAAAATATAGTTTGCGCTCCGTAACCTATCGGATAAGTTCATGATATCATGACCAGTCAAAACACTGTAACCACCTTCCCTTATGATAGATAAAATCAAAAGTCCATAACATGGTGTTGATGAACTGTAAAGTTCAACTGGCATTGCAGAATAGATGGCAAGAAAGGCGAGATCTTGCATAATTGTAGGTATTTCTTCTGTAGTAACTAGTAATAATACTTGCCAAGAAGTTTTTGATGGAGTTTCCGTCCTCTAGGATCCTGGGGTATCCCTCCATGTATAGTTTAATGTTGAGAAGACACTGGCTTTTATGTACCTTTCCTTCTGTATTCTACCTGAGGTAGAAGTTTTATGCCAGCCAAAATTTCTGGCGTTTAAGCTTTGTGCCAGTGTTTGTTTGCTTCATCCTAACAAGATTTAGTTCCATCAGCTTCTTTTTTTTTTTTGGCATATATATATATATATACACGTTTAAATTTTGAATTTCTAAAAGCTAGTGAGTGTTTGTTTTATTATTATAAATTACTTTTCAAATTCTTTTTCACAAAAAAATATTAAATGAATGTTTTTTCAAATATTTTTCATTTAATAATGTCAAGAATAAAAATAAATATAAAAAATCTATTTTAAAAACTACAATTAAAAATATTTTTAAAACTCGAGCGACAAACTCTTTGCAGTCAACGTGCGTGGCACAGCAGCATGCCTAAAGCACGCGGCGCGTGCCATGGTTGAAGGAGGTGTAAAGGGCAGCGTCATTTGCACATCAAGCAAAAGTCAGGTTCTCCATAAAATTAATTATAGTCCCCATAATTTAGTGTAGTTTATATATTGATTCTTAATTTGGGCCCTCCAAAGATTTTATATATATATACCTAGAATTATTGAATATTTTTAAATACTACATCGTGGGTTCACTTTTTATTTTTATAAAAATACCATAAAGATTTATAATATAAATAATAATATGTTTTCAATATAATACTAATATTTCCTTTGAAATTTATTAATTATTTTATTAATAATATTCATTATAATAAAAATAACAATATTTTTAAAATAAGTAATAATATTTAGAATCCTAAAATCTAGAAACCTTTGGTTTTGATGAAGAACCCAATAAAATTGGGTCATGATACTAGACCCATTTATCGTGGTTCTTGACGCGGACCCATTCCCCTTTGGTCCAGTGGCATGACCCAGGTGCTAGGCGTCCCTAAGTGAGACGCTGGCATAAGTCACACCCAGCGCAACTCAAGCATCATATGTGCACTAGGATGTGTCCAATGTTTAGGTAAGTAGCCGAAGCACAACGTGTACACTTGGCATGCCCAGCTCTCAGGCAGCCATCCTAAGCGCCCAAAGCTGGGCAGACCGAGTGTAAGGTGGCTGTAGCCCGTGGTGCGGCCAACAAGCATGGCCTGGCTGCCAAGTGCTTGGTGTCGACAGCGCCAATAGACACGCCACCAGCCTGATACTTGGGTCCTGCAGGCTTCAGCCTCCCCATATATCTCCACTAACAGTACAATCCACATTGCAAGCACTCAAAGTCTATAATACCCGTATTATATTGCAGAATAGTGTAATTCATAATGAATTAACTTACAATGAATATTATTATGTATTATAGTGAAACACTAATTAGTTTTAGTTAGTTATATTTATTACATAAATCACCTTTGAAAAGAGGCACGCCATAAATTTGACACATACGTTCATTATAATCTCCTTTTAAGAACTGGTGCAATATACTTTTTTTTCCCTTCATCAACAACCACAAATCTTGACTTTATAATCTATAAAAATTGGGTTTTTTATTTGAATATGATAAAAGGTAAGAGAAAAAACTCTCAAAAAGCAAGTTGGGGCTATCAATTTTTATTTCACAAGTATTTTTCTTTAGGGTTTGAACAAGCTCAACATAAAGAAAACAAAGAAGAAATTGCAGATCTAGCTAGAGTAGCGGTAATATTATAAAGAAACTAATTTTAATAAATTATATACGAGTGTAATTTGATATTTTTTTTTAAATTGAAAAATTATTTTAATCTAAAATGTAAATTATAATTTCTAAAAGAATTAAGACAAAGTTAAAAAAAAATTACTAAACTACAAGATATTCTATGTATTTTTTTTTTAAATAATTTATATGATTCATCTAATAATTTCATAAGGCGATGATAACCTCACATAAATTTGAAATAAATAAAACAATAGAGCTTAGAAAACATCCCATAAAAAGATATGAATCAACTCTAGCCAATCCGTCAAACCCGCAACTTAAATTATGAGATAATGATAACCCCACATAAAAAAAAGCAAAGAAAATCATGAAGATCAATTTCTAATAAATTCAATATCTAATGATGTATTGAAAAAGAAAATCGGTGTAAAAGAAGGATTTGAATAAAACTTTGAACCTCATGATTTTAGTCATGAGATCGGGATCATCCAACGAAAAAAAAATCAATAAATCCAATAACAAACCAACCGATGTTGAATGATGATTTTGAAGAAAAAAAATTAAAAATGAATCAAAAAATAATAATTAAAATAATAAATATTAAAATTGATATAAAAATAAAATGACAAGATATTTTTTAATTTTGGTTGGAATAGAGCGAACCCCAGGTAAAGAAAAGAGGAAAAAGAGGGAAATAAAAAAATATTATTATCTAGCCATTGACCATTGATTTACAAGCAGCACTTTAATAGACAGAACTTAACACAACGCTTTTGATGCCACTGTAGATGACTGTGTTTGGTCACCATAGGAGGCCACACCCGTTTCTTAAACATGGCAAGCCCCTTCAACATATTTGTGTGTGCGATCCACATGTCGGCATAATTATCTTGTTCATCCATCCTATTCCATTATATTTATTTTAGTTTTAATTTTAATTTATTAAAACTTAATTATTTTACATCAACGTAATCTTATGTTAATTTATCAAACTAAGCATCAGTTGCTAATCTTATGTTAATTTATCAAACTAAGCATCAACCAGTTGCTAGAATTTTCTTTCAATATTGTGAGAACCCATATCTAGGCATCCGGATTAAAATACAAAGTCAAATCCTAAATAAAACCAATATAAAAAAATTAAATGATCCAAAAAAACATAAAATCTTCTCATGACCGTACAAACTAGTCCCTTATATTAGCAAAAAAATAAGGGATTGTATATTTGTCCAAGCCTCAATAAAATATAATTTTATTTTATAAAATCAAACATTAATCACATCAAAAATCCCTATAAACAAATATAAAAAACAAGTCACCAAGACTAATTTTGGATAAACATAATATTAAAAAAAAAAAAAAGGAAAGTTGAAGAATCAAAAAAAAAAAATCAAGAGACGACCAAAATCGGATCCGCCATGACCTCTCTGTCACGTGTTAATGTAGAAGTGCAAGAAATTAGGACAAAACTAATTCCTTCAAATAGAAATAATTAATTCTTGTCGATTGTATGAAGTTTATTGCTTTAGCCTTCCAAGGTTCCAATTTTCTTATTCTCTATGTTAAGTCAGGGTAACTTTGATCTCCTGGGAAACAATTTCCTACTTCTTGACTTTTTAGTCACTAACAAAATCCCAGCCAGTCCTCATCCTAATAACACCCATAGATTTGCAGAATTCGACGCCATGTCTCTCTCTACTTACTGCTGCTGCTGTTTCTTTTTATTTTTTTTATTTTAACTTTAGAGTAAATAAGGAGAAGGATAAAACCCTAGACTAGAGGGCACAAAGAAGAAGAGGAGCAAAAAGGAACACTTCTCCTCCTGGACATGATTGAAGGGATAGATAAGAGAGTGACATTTTTATGTTTGTGTAATGTGTAGACGGAATTTAGAAATCTCACTCAACAGCCGGTCACACATCAGGCCAGTTCTTCGCTTTCCTCCTCTTACTGTTTTTCTAGATTAATGTGGATATTTAGATAGTTTATATATATTATGATTAATTTTATAAGTTTTAAAATTAATAATTATATAAATTTTTAATTATTATTATATAAATAATTAAAAACTCAAATCTAAAATTATAAAGAAAATATACTTTTTAATCCATGTTCTTGCCACTTGATCATGATTGCTTTTGATTATATTTAATGATTATTTTTTTGAAATGTTTTTTATTAAAAAATATATTAATATTTTTTTATTTTTAAAATTTATTTTTAACAAATTTAAAATTTCAAAAAATACAGTTTTCACTATATTTTAAATTGATATCTTTAGACAATCTAGTATAACTTTCTTTTTATTCAAAAAATAAATGAAGTTAATTTCATTGTCAAAAAAACTTATTATGCAGAATAGAATCTGTCAAAAGAAACTTCAAAATATAAGAGGGTGTTGATTAAAAATATTTAAAAAATCATGTTTTAATACAATTAAATTTTTTTAATTACAACAACTTTAACTTTATTTTAGATTTATAAATAAAATGTTAGATTTATAAATCTAATATTTCATAAATATTAATAATAAAATGTTTTTATGTTATTTTTTTATTTTTAAATTTTTTTTAATAAATTTAAAATTTTATAAAATACAGTTTTCACTATGTTTTAGAATAATATCTTTGGATGATCTAGTATAACTCTCTTTTTTATTTAAAAAATAAATGAAGTTAATTTCGTTATCAAAAGAAACTTATTATGCAGAATAGAATCTGTCAAAAAAAAACTTCAAAAATAAAAAAACCTGTATTATATATCAGTTCCTATACTTGTGATAAATATCTTATTTATGAGGGTATCAATTAAAAATATTTTAAAAATAATATTTTAATACAATTAAAATTCTTTAATTACAACAACTTTAACTTTAATTTAGATTCATAAATAAAATGTTAGATTTATAAATCTAATATTATATGAATAT